CCCGTAACGAAGTCACGCGTTGGCTCGAAACGCAAGACGCTTACACGTTGCATCGTCCATCGCGCAAAAAATTTCCACGGTTGCATTACAACGTGTCGAATATCGACGATCTGTGGGAGGCCGATTTGATCGAGCTCCGAAATCTCAAAAGTTACAACGACGGATATTCGTATGTTCTGGTGATTATAGACGTGCTTAGTAAATATGCCTGGGTAGAACCGCTACGAGACAAAACGAGTGAGCACGTGACGACGGCTTTTCAGCGCGTGCTCTCGAAAAGCGACGGGCGCGTACCGGTATACTTACAAACGGATAAAGGTAAAGAATTTATCGGACGTCCGTTGCAAAAGTTTCTGGAAGAAAACAACATTTGTTTTCGCGTGGCCCGTAATCCGGATATCAAAGCTGCCGTCGTCGAGCGCTTCAACAGAACGTTGAAGGAGCGAATGTGGCGCTATTTTACGCATAAAAATACGCGGCGCTACGTCGATGTTTTGCAAGATATCGTAAGCGCTTACAATCACACCCGTCATTCCTCCATCAGAATGCAACCGGCTGTCGTTACGAGAGAAAACGCTCGTGTCGCGCGCGAAAATATAGTTCGACGATGGAGGAAGAGCGAAAAGATGAAACGCGCGCGAAAAGCTAAATACAACGTCGGAGAACTCGTTCGCGTCAGTAGAGCAAAAGCTACCTTCGAGAAAGGATACGAGGCGAGGTGGAGTGAAGAGATATTTCGAATTCACCGCGTTCTCGAGTGGCGAAAACCACGCGTGTACGAACTGAGCGATTTAGCGGATGAGGTCATAGACGGTATTTTTTATGAACAGGAATTAGCTAGAGTTGAGAAAAACTTGCGGGAAGAAGAGTTTATCGTCGATCGCGTGATAAAGACCAGGGGACGCGGCGCTAATAAACAGGTGTTAGTTAGCTGGCGCGGTTATCCCAGCAAGTTCGACATTTGGATCCCCGCTTCGAATTTAACTTCTCTTCCTCAAGATGAGGGACGATCAATTTCTCATGGTACTTCCGAGCAATAGCAGTATGCGCTATTTCCCGGAAAATAGAACCTCGTCATTCGTTACGGAATTACCTCAAACTGTTCACTTACACGGCGAATGGGAAGTCGCGCTTAGCGAGATTCAATTTCCAAGTACTCTTTCACACTTGCGCTATCAAGAAAATGAAATCTACTTTTTCGATACTAAACCGGGGGAGAAAGGCACAATATGGTACGGTCTTTACAAAAATACCGCAGAACTTATCTCGGCGATTAATGAAGCATGCAAACAAGCTGACTCTCACTTTTATTTGGATCAGCAAGAGAAGACTGGAGGAAAAATCCTCATCAGCATTAACTGTAACGCAAGCGAATGCGAACTAATACATTATATGAACGTTTCCGATACTCTTCTACAAATACTCGGTTTAGGTCATGCTCTTTTCAATAATCCCGTATACTATGGCGAATTATATGCCAGGCGCAACGCAATTAATCCTATTTCCAAAAAAGTGTTTACTGCAAATTATATTAAACTTGGATTTTTTAACGAAAGTAAAGGTGCACGCGAAACAGCTTTCTATGGCCTAGTTTACACCGATCACTTGATACGCGTATTAAATAGTAAATAACTAGTAAATAAGTCTGATTATTGGCTGATCAGTTCAAATATACTATTTGATACGCGTATCAAGAGATCGGTGTAAACTAGGCCTATAGTCGTGAACCTTGTAGTTTGCAGCGCGGTATTCCAGATAAAATGTTCGTTTATTGCGATATTTGTGAGCCTTATGTAACAGGAGACGTGCAAACTCCTCTTCTCCGAATAGTGCCGGTCGAGACATACCGCTATAATCACGTGGAGGCTTACGGAACGAATCAGGTGAAACATTTCTCTCCGTTGCATTATATTCCATTACGCAAAACAAATTTCCGCACAATTGAAATAGATATAAAAGATCAACTCGGAAAAAATATACCATTCGAATCCGGGACGCTGACGGTGACATTACACTTTAGACGTTTCCAGTAAGACCGTGGCGGAGTGTCGTCGTCGAAAAGAATAAAAATTAATTTCAGTACCATGGACTACGAATATTACGATTCAAACTACCAGAGTGGACGAGGCGGAGGAATTCCACGAGTTTTCGTCGGAGCACCCTATCAACGAGGTCATGGAATCGGTAGTTTTCTCGGCGGATTATTCAGAAAGGTACTTCCTTTCCTAAGTAGAGGCGCGCGTGCGGTCGGTAAAGAAGCTTTACGCGCGGGTATCAATGTGATGAAAGATGTCGACAATAATACGCCGTTGAAGGAGGCGTTCAAAACTCGCCTCAAGGAATCGAGTGGAAATCTTAAAAGAAAAGCACAGGAGAAGATAAGCAGCCTGATGAAGGGATCGGGGTATAAAGTAACCGCAAAAAATTCAGCGTTTCAGTTTCCCCTCGGCATCCACGACAGTCGCGTCGCAGTTCGTAAACGTCGTCGTCCTCAAACGGACAAAAGAAAATCATCAAAGGGCAAAAAGAATAGAACAACGATCAAAAAATCATCGAAGAAGAAGAATACTCGTGCTTTAAACAGAAAGTCATCTACCACCGCTACGAGACAACGTCGTCGTCGAGTTAGCGTCAAGAAACGCAGCGTATCCGACATATTCTCTTAATCGTCGCGCGCGCGCGCACGAACCAAGAATTCAAGGAGTATATAGAGAAGGAGGATAAGTATGTCTTTTCTCCACACACATTCGAACGAGTGTTTAAAAAGTGAACTCGATTTCTTCTCATTGCCACCCACTCAAACTAGTATCGAGAGCTCGCAATGGATCTATTACAAGCCCATAACCTCCCTCGGGGACGACGCGCCTATAGAATTCGTCATACCCGGTCACGGGGAAGACTACCTGGACCTCACTCACACCATGTTGAGTCTTCGCATACGCGTAGAAACTTCTCCCCTAGCAAGCGGCGGTGGCGACAACGAAACAAGTACACCAGGGGGAATTGCGTTCAAAGTAGGCCCCGTAAATCATTTACTGCATTCCATGTTCAATCAAATCGACGTATATTTCAATCAAAAGCTCGTCTCACCCCCAAACAACGCTTACGCGTACCGCGCGTACATAGAGGCGTTGTTAAATTATTCTTCACCCGCAAAAACTTCCCATCTGACCACTTGTCTGTGGGACATGGATACCCCCGGACTCATGGACGCCCTCGTAGATTCAGAAACACCAAATCCGGCTCTCGTGAGACGCGCTCGTTACATTCACGAGGGACACGCGCTAGATCTCATGGGTCATCTTCATTGCGACGTTTTCAATCAAGATAAATTTTTAATTAACGGTGTGGAAGTTAGAATGAGACTCGTTCGTTCGAAGGATTCGTTTTGCCTTATGGAAAATACTTCGACGTCGAAAATACGCACTTTAGACGCCAGTCTGCTAGTGAGAAGAGCAAAAATAAGTCCTGGCATTTTACTCGCGCATGCGAAAATGTTGAGCCAAACTACCGCCAAATATCCCCTTACGAGAGTCGAAGTTAAAACATTTACCATTCACGCGGGTCTCGTAGGAGAATCGTTAGACAATGTAATACTCGGTCAACTGCCGAAACGGATAATAGTCGGTTTTGTCGATAACAGAGCGTTCAACGGCGATAGAAAATTAAACCCGTTTAATTTCAAAAACTACAGTATAAATTTCTTTTCGCTATACGCCGACGGTATACAAATTCCCAGTAGACCGCTACAGCCGAGCTTCTCGAAAGACGAGCCACTCTACGTCGAAGCTTATCACACTCTTTTTTCGGGAACCGGTATACATTTTTTGAACGAGGGTAATTCTATAAGTAGAGAAGATTACGCCGAAGGATTCACAGGATTTTTCGCCTTTGATCTTACACCAGACTTATCAGCCAATTTTGCCGGCCATTGGAACCTTGTGAAACATGGCAGTTTACGACTGGAAGTGCGATTTGAAAAAGCACTTACCACAACCGTTAATTGTATCGTTTACGCCGAGTTCGATAATGTTCTAGAAATCGATTCTACTCGTCAAATCATCGTCGACTTTGCCGGTTAAATGACAAATGTCGACAAATAATATTTCTCAGCTTTACGGTACATGCTTTATTTTTACCCCGCCACCACTACTTATTTACCCATCACATTTTCCTGCGTAAAGTCCTGCAAAAAGAGAGAGAGATTCAGTTTCACTCGAGACACGGACGTCGACGCTTCGCTTGAAAAAATAGAGAGTACATTTTGAACTATGGATCTGGTCATCGACATACAAGGTTTCCGTGATGTCAACGGAAAGTTTATTCCGAAAGAAGTCGCAGTTGTCGCGAATAACGCAGCGATCGCCGGACACTGGATTATGACGCCTCCCTATCCATTTGACGATCTACCCGAAAAGTCAAGACGTGAGAATAACTGGCTTTCGCGAAATTATCATGGAATCGAGTGGTTCGATGGTGAAACCAATCTCAAATGTTTCACGTTACATCTGCGAGAAATTACGCGACAAGTGCGCTACATCTACTGCAGAGGTGTGGAAAAGGCTCGTTACTTGAGTCATCTACTTTCCAGAAACATATATAATCTGGAAGAAATTTCTCCACCGTTCAAAAGTTTACCGGAGGCCCGAGAGTACAGTCAACGCTGCTCACATCACGGATTTCGTGTTTCGACTACGGACAAAATTGTTTGTGCGTTACGTAACGCTTTCAAATTGAAACGCTGGTTAGTCTTGCGAGACAACAGCGAATGCATCAGCAGCAGCAGCAGCAGCAGCATCGGCTCGACCTACGATACTATAAATCTCTCACACGTAAATTTGGACACAAGCGACGACGACGACGACGACGACGACGAGGGTGAAAAAACCGACGGTGACATCGCTATAAAAATAAAACAGTGGCAAAAAAATAACGAGACAGAAGAGAAAGAGGAAGAAAAAGTAGCAAAAGTCTATTATTCAGTAGAGGGCGTAAGAAAAGAATACATCTTCAATAACGAACCGATACATCCATCTCCATCCAAGAACACTAGTGCGACAACTCCAAAAGAGGTAAACCCCGAAATTATACAAATAATACCTCTCGTGCGATCACCGCCTCGCTGTGTAAAAAATGAACTCGCTAGAAATCTTACATGCGCTGCATCATCTCAGTGTCAGATATGCGGGTGTATATCCTGCCGACAGACTGCCGAGGGTGTGGACGAGATCGACAGCCATCGTCGCTAACACGGACGATCACGATCGGCTCGGTCAACATTGGGTCGCTTTTTACATCGACGAGCAAGGAGCAGGAACGTATTTCGATAGCTACGGACTACCACCTTTGGACTCCAGATTCCTCTTACGCCTTCGTCGAAATTCCACTACGCATCGATGGAACACCGTGACGCTACAAGGAACGCTCTCTCAAACTTGCGGACAATACTGTTGTGTATTTTTATATTACATGTGTAGCGGCTATAATCTTTGTCAGTTTCTTAATCTGTTTAGCGATAATTGCGAGCGCAATGATCGTTTGATTGTAAAATTATTTCGTAAAATTTTTCTTCATAATAAAAGCGCATGCGTAAAACCTCACGTTGAATGCTGTCATGTTCAAGCGTGTACTTTTAAGAATAATTAAAAAAAATACTTATTCACCCGTATCAATGTATTATTTTATGTAATAAACATTGTTTGTATCTTCAACCCCTCCGTATATTTATTCATTCCTTTTTCTCTTACGTTAAAATAGTTGCACCATGTCATAAAGCGAACCTGTCCGTTCCTGTTTTCCCCTCCCTCGAGGTAAAACGCTCTTAAAAATTCCATTTTCCGTTTTCGGCATCTTAGCATCATATCCTTTTTCGAGCTTAGCGTCGTCTACCACGTGTTCTCACCAAAATGGCGCTGGTCGGCTCTTCCGCTATTTTACCGCGTGACTTCAGCGTCGTCCGCCACGTGCAGGCCCAAAAAGACGCTGGACACTTTAGGCGGGAGAGCAAATCAGACGCTGGGTAGGTATGGGGTATCCAATCAAAACGCACCATTTAGTTACTATTTTGAATCCGACATTTTTGTTTCGTAGTCGTCCACCTCGTGTAGTCCCAAAAAAGACACTAGGCACTAGACGCCTCAGGGGCGAGAGGGCCAATCAGACGCTGGGTAGGTATGGGGTATCCAATCAAAACGCTCCATTTGAATCCGTCATTTTTGTCTCGTAGTTTTCCACCACGTGCAGTCCCAAAAAATCACTAGACACTAGACGCCTCAGGGGAGGGAGGGAGGGCCAATCAGACGCTGGGTAGGTATGGGGTATCCAATCAGAACGCTGGCTAGGTATGGGGTATCCAATCAGAACGCTGGGTAGGTATGGGGTATCCAATCAAATCGCTCCATTTCACCCCCACACCCCACACGGCAGCCAATCAGAGAGCTCCGAGGTCACGTGGGCAGACCGTCTGGCCACGCCCCTGGCGCCGGAGGGGTCGGTGGAGGGGGTTTGTTTTGACGCCCCATACCTACCCACTTACTACTGACGGTGCTTACTAACTACAGAATGATTATCACTGTTCTTCCTAATATCACAAAAATGTTCCTTAACCCGTGTCTCTAGGTGCCTTTTTGTTTGACCAATATATGCAGCGTTGCAATTAGCACAATCAATCTCATATATCAACTCCGTTTGCTTAAGATTCGGTAGCGTATCCTTCCCCCTTTTAATAATGCAATCCAACCTTTTCGGAATGGTGAGGAGAACCCTGAATTCTGCATCGCGCATTGTACGGCCAACACCGTCACTAAGGCCCTTAATATACGGTATAGTGATAAACTTTCGAGGATCCTGGGCTACATTGTTACTGCTAGATCTATTATTATTGTTATGACGTGTCTGTAGCTCGTTAAGTCTGATGTTAATGTACTTGTTAATTAATTTTATTGGATAACAATTATTAGAAAGAATCTTTTTTATTTCGATTAAATTAGACTTATGAAAACGTACGTCAGATAAAAGAATAGCTCGGTCAACAAGATTACGTATAATATTAATTTTGTATTTGAGAGGGTGATTCGAAAAATAGTTTATGTATCGCCCCGAAAAGGTCGGTTTTCGGTACCAATTCGTAAGCAACACAGTCCCCTCTCGAATCACTATTGTGTCAAGAAAACTTAGAGAATTATTCTTTTCTATTTCAAATGTAAATTTTAATCTGGTGTGATAACTATTGAAAACTCTAAGTAACTCGTCAATACCAGATCTAGGAACAATCGCGAAAATGTCATCAACATATCTTTTAAAAAAGGAAATATGAAAACTAAGCAATTGCAAACAATGCGTCTCAAGGTCCTCCATGACCATATCCGCCAAAATCGGAGAGAGAGGGGAACCCATCGGACTTCCGAAGATTTGTTCATATATTTGACCATCAAAAGAAAAACTAGTGGAACTAAGAATCAAGTCCACAGCTGACAAGAATTGAGGACGGCTGAGCTTCGTCTCTTTAGAGATGTGATTCCACCTCCGTTCGATCGCTCTCAAAACAAGGTCTTTAGGGATGTTAGTGAAAAGAGACGCGACATCCAAAGAGATCAAAACATCATCCTCCCCAATCCCTACGTCACCAATCAATTCAACAAAGGACCAACCGTCCTTAATATATGACTTCGGTTTAGGGACAGATTTTTCTAAGATGTTGTGTAAAAAATAAGCCATGTTATATAGTGGACTCCCTAAAGTAGAAACAATAATTCGTAATGGTGAGCCATCCTTGTGAATCTTCGGAAGTCCGTAACAACGTGGGA